ACCAAAAGTGAAGCAATATTGGTTACTGCTATTCTGCTAAGCTACTTACCTTTAGTAAGAGCTTAGCTAGGGGTTTTGTTTTTTTTCTCCATCATGAGTGGATTTAGTTACTGCTCCTTTTAGTTATGTGGAATAACAAACTGAGTTACCAAGATGCCAGCTCATCAAATTGGATATTTTTCAATTACACATAACAGCTTGGGAAAATTCAATAGCCAAATTAGTATTACGTAAGGCAAGCAATGACATCTCATCAGGTAGCTTTAACCTGATGTTGCAGACTCTGTATTACATTACACCTTTTTACTGGGAATCTAAATACATTTAAATGGCATAATACATTTTAATAGTAAAACAAACTGAAACTAGGGAGACAGATTTTAGTTTACCAATATGTATAGTGTTTTGGCTATTGATGTTACAATAGAGCATATCTTATCATCAGCTTTAACACAGACGCCAACAGGAAATACTCTCACATGTTTAATGTTGTGATTGTTTCACTTATGAAACTATTCCTAACTTAAATGAACTGAATATGATTTAAGCTTCAGCAAAATATTGTATTTGATTTGTTTTACAAATAAAGTCTCAACATACTTCTTGTTTACCATTAGAGTCAAATACATGCTTGGTTGCTATCATGGAAAAGGTTTAGCTGTTATAAAATATAACATAATCATATATGACACAACAACTAAACCTTCTCCGTGACAGCACAACTCTGCTTAAGATATGTTTAAAAGCTTTGGAAGCAAATGTAATTTTGACCTTGAGTTGTTTCATGAGGGCAAGGAATTGAGCCGAACTGTCTGATTATGTCATATCAAACGTAGCTGTCTCAGGTGTGGCTCCTCTATATCGTCTTCTTAAACTGCTCTAATCAGTTTTTTCTTTGTGTCTAAATCTTTCTACTATCCAATGACGACTTGTACAAATACAAGCAGCGCCTACAATTTTGGAATGCAGGCATGCGTGTGTGGGTGGGGTATATGTATACAAGACCGTGAAGCATGCTCAAGCATATTGAGAACATCAGATAAGGAACTTGTGAACTGTATGTACAGGAATAGCACAATGGTGTTTGGTTTGTTATGTTGAAATTGGCGATCACCTGAGGGGTTTTACAGATTGAGATGTATGTGGCTACATGCAACAGTGCTGTGCAGAAGATAGAACCTGTGTCAAGGGTTTATGAACACAGAGAATGAGAATGACGTTGACAAGAGTTGGCTGTGGTTGTTGGTTGGCACTGGTGCACTTTTGTAATGGGGGATTTCCATGGAGACAAATTAGTCTCACTACTGGTGGCAAATGCATGTTTCATGATCCATAAGTAAAAATGTATGATTTGTGCGCAATCTACTCAGTTAATTTTTCTCAAATATACAAATATGATACATATATGTATCAAACTCATTAATTCTGATATTAATTTTAAATTATTTGTTGTTATATATATTAAATGAATACATATGAATTAACAATAAATTTGTTCTTGATTATTTTTTTCTCTTAATAACAAAAAGAACCAATAAGAGTACTGTTAAAGTAGACTGATAGATTGATAAATAGCATTGTTAAGAGCAGTAGCATTACAATTTTAATGATACCCTTACAATAAACAAACAAAGTCTCTGTTTACATTCAGAATCAGAATCAGAATTGAACTTTCCAGTGTTATCATCATCACTGTCTATATTCCTCACAGTGGTCTTCATCATCACCATCACTGTTTACATTTATGATGTCTTATTTATTCTCCTGTACAGCACTTTGGTCAACTTTGGTTGTTTTTAAAGTGCTTAACAAATAAGTTGGATTGGATTATTGCCAAGTACGTTTTTATACAAACAAGGAATTTGTCTTGGTGCATTGGTGCATAAAAATCACACAAAAATAAAGGACTTTTTAAAATATAAATAAATAAAGATAGGAATAAGGATAGAAAGATCCAACACTGTACAGGAAACGGGAGTGCATTAATGTAATGCATATATATATTCAGAGGTCTAACTAACACACTGAATGGATTTTCTTCCTCATAAGCCCATTTTTCTCATGAGTTTAAAATCAGCATTGTTTACGTCAATGTTGGCACTCTTTCTCTTCCCTGCAAAACCCCTTACTAAAAACCATTGCTCTACAACACTATAGTGGCCAAAATCTTTATTATTTATCAAACCCAAAACAAATGACTCTTCTAGTCCTGTTCTCTGTCTGGCTGTCGATAATGTGAAATCTGGACAATAGAAGTGAAAGACAGAGTCTAACAGAATGTGACTTCGACTTAATACTGCTCTAAGGCTGATAGGGTGTAACAAAATTAACTTATCTGAATTATCTAACTGAGTGTAACACGGAGACAGGAAAGAACACAGCAGGTGACAATCAGGGTAATTACCTACTGTAGATTTACTTGGACCTGTATTGTGTTCAGTGGGGAAGAATTCCATTTCAGGCTGTTGTTGTAACAGTTTGGAATGAAAACATGTCTACTGACGCCCTCAAAGTGCAATATGATAGCCCTGTTGCATTGCAAGACAGTTGAGGAAATGAAAGTCATATGAAATGAGGATATGAAGACAATGTGTCCTTTGTTTTCATTTGTTTGTATCACTATTATGTAGTCTGGGTGTGCATCCACCTGTGCTGTCAGTTGCTGGAATAATGTGTTGCCCATGATTGTAATATGACTTAGTCCAAAGCAAATAGCTGTGACAGATGTTTGTTTGGATGAGAGTTGTTAGTGTGCATGACACTGCCATTAGTCATGTCAGTCAGGTGGAATGTCATTAGAAATTTGTCAAATCACCAGAAAAAACATTTCTAAATTCAGTTTAGTTTTATTGAACATTGCTCAATACAGCTGCACAGTGAATTTTGTGTTTTATGGCACTTCAACCCATTTAATCTACTAGAGGTTCTCATGTGTGACTTCCTGAAACTACTGCTCAGTGGTTGAAGGTTCATTACTTCACCACACAGTGGAGCTGTGGCTCAAGCTTTAATATTGCTTTGCCTGCACTGGAATGCCTGTGTGACATAGATTAGGCTGAATATGGCATATAATATTCCATATGTTTATTAAATGAAAACCTGCCCTTCTTGTTTTTTGTTTTTAATACAGTGCCCTATATATGTTTCAACAAGTTGGTAGGCAAAAAACCAAACGTGTCAACCATGGAGAGGGTTCTTATTACTCTTGTAGTTCATGTTGCTGATTTTATTTTCTAGTCATAGATAACATTTTTCATTTATGCCTTGTGTTTCTGCCCCAGCATCCATAGAAGACTGACTCCAATGCATAGGAAATGAAGAGCGAGTTCTGATTTCCTTTGTGGTTATGCTTTTTCAGATCATCAGACCCTGTCATATTTGTAATGGAACTTTTTCACTGAAAAGATGGTTGAACCTCGCTTTTGTTCTATTGTAACATCTATAAAAGCAAAAGCAAAATCCTGCTGCTTGCTCGGCTTCTCTTCTGCAAGTCAACAGGAAGATAAATTATAATTTCAGAGACAAATGATTAGATTGACGCTAGATATGTTTGGTGAACTGCTGAAAAGGTCATGCCAAAGAGGGACTCCAAATGTCAAACACCCGTCTCTGAAGTTTAAGCCTTTGTAAGATCTGATGGATTGATATTCTTTTCCAGACTCCAAAAATGTCATTACTGATATTTTGATGCAGAATGTGCGTTTGCTTCTCCAATAATGGTAATTAAGCATTGATGGACGTTTGTGGAACACATTGGCTTAGTGATATGAACTTCTGATGTGCGTGTGTACACTTTGTTGTGCAATGTGTGCTTTGCTTTGGAACGGTCGTGGGAGTGTTATTTTTGAGCAAATACCCCTGACCTTTTTTGCCCTTAGTGCCCTTTCAATCCAAGATCGAATTTCTAACAGTGATAACCACCTGAGGCACTATAAACCAAAAGCAGCACATTAATAGTTTGGAGGGCATTTATATTGTAGCAAATGTCACTATTTGCATGCCGGTAAGTCTCTGAGGCTTCTGTTCACCAACCACACCAATAAAGGAATATTCTTGTCAGTTTTTCACTTCATACCTTCATACCAACCTTTTTCTATTTGTCTTGCCTAATTGGGGTAATGGGACATCCATGTGCAACAAATGACTAAACACAGACAAATAGGTGCTGACAATATTATGTGAATTTTAAACCATCTGTTATGATGAAATCTTCCCGAGCAAGAAGCCATCTAAAACCTTTGCGCACCAGGAGGATGCTGGGAAACAAGAGGAGCAAACAAGTTTGGAAGAGCCATACACTGCTGTTTTTAATTGCATTGCTGTGCGCTACAGTGTCCGGTTTGAGGCTACCATGAGGGGCGCCAAAGTTGGACATTTTCACATTTTCAACACATTGCTTTAGGATCATGAAATTCTCCACGGTCAGCACGTATGGCAGGATGTGGAAAATGTTGATGGCCGAACAGAGTTCCCTGGAGGCTTCAATTGTCCTGAACTGTCAGAGGAAGTCAGATTAGATTTCTTCTTTAAATTTGTGGAAGCAGATTATAAAGCAGATCTTGACAAACTAGGCCACACAATGGCATGGTTTAATCTACTCTTGGCAATCCAAAAAGCTAAATATAAGATTAGTTTTTTTCATAATAATAATAGCTCAGAATCCATGGCTTGGTCTTGTTAAAAGCTGACCAAATTATTTTTCTTTTACATAACGTGTTCACATAGAAAATAAGCATTAATCTGTTTGTTAAATATCATACAGACATGAGTGGTATCAATATTCTCATCTAACTATTGTCAAAATGGCAAATTAGCGTATTTCCCAAGTTTGTGGATTTTAAGCTTGTTCACTGCACATACTGCACATATTCAGTTTAATTCATGACATTTTATATAGCCTACAGTAAAACAAGTCCCTGTAAATCAGAGTAACAGACAGGATCACACGCTTGCATTACATTTTTGCAGATTTTTTTTAATTAGGTAAACATCAGGTTTTTCACAAATACATGTTTTCCAGATTTTCCAAATTTTTTGCATTCTTAACAATTATACTTACTTATAAAATGTGTAACATTTACCAGAGGTGGCATTCTTTATACCTCTTACAAATGAAAGAAACTGTAGAAATGGGTGGTTCGAAGGTTTCTCCAACCTTAGACAGAAATAAACAAGACACCTTTCAAATACCTTTTCAACTTAAACTGTCTATTCTTTAGCTTTTTCATGTGAGCTGATATATTTGTTTTGTCAGACACGCAGCATGAAGGAACAAGTTATGTGCTTCAAGTAGAAATGAAAGAGCTGAATAGACTTAGGTGCAAATGAATTCAGAAAACATGTGCCATATTTTCCTGAGAAACTGTTCCTGTCTATTATGAGATGTCTTAAGAGTAGAGGTAAAAAGTAATCCAGCGGTGCTCATGCATCTTCATTGGTTGTAATATTGGAAAGTTCAAATCTGTCCTCCTCCTCCTTCTTCAGCTTCTCTTGCACTTCTCTTTCCAAATGATATCCGATCATTAGCTGGTACATCAGCACACCAACCACTGCTCCCAGGAAGGGGGCGCAGATGGGCACAAAGAACCAGTAGGTGTGTGCTCTGTAAGAAATTAAATGCAAAAAAAACCCAAATAAAATGCATGCATGGTGTCATTTTACAGTTTTTATTAAATTTGCCTACTGTAGCAGGTTATTAAAATAAGAGGCTATATCAGAACTTACACAGATGCAATGTTGTGGGTCAGGAAGCAAGTGAGACATTCTAGTTTTAATATATGTATTTATTTATTATATTTAACCCTGTAACACCCCTTGTTGTAAAATTACAACGTTACCTTTAACCATCCTAAAAAACAATCTGTTATATTTTATCTTATTTTTTACCACATTTACATAGTCATTGGGTCCTATTGTTCAGTCTCACAATGCTATTGGATCGTACATTTGTTTATAAGTCACGCCTTCTGGCCATGAACTCACACAACCTCTCAAGGTTTCCTTCGAACAACATCTCTTTGTTTCATTGGACTGGATTCATCAGATTCAAGTAAGTAAAATGTCTTTTATATTTTTTTTGGTTGTTATTACAATGTCTAGAGCATGTACATGTAGTTATTGTGGAATAGATGCACTAAATTTAATTTAGAGCTTGTTATATAATTATACAACACTGGGTGAATGTGGTAGTCAAAATAGCTGGCTTGTTGCAGTGGGCTCAAACAGGTTGTATTCCCTCCACTACACCACTGCCTGAAACAGAGTATTTTCTTTATACATGGACAGTATACATTCTACCCTTGTGTTGTGTTTTGGTCAAATTTGACTGATTTAAAAGTTTTAACTCTAAAAGATTTAGTTAATTTGATCAGCCTGACCTAAAATTCCATGACTTTGTCCACAAAGAGGATATCAACAGACAATTCAGTTCTGGGGAAAGGTGAAAATGTTCCTGAATGTGGGGTGTGGATGTAAGTGGGGGTATGCATGTTTTCCTTTTAGTATGATAATTAGAGAGCATAACAAGCAGTATCGTTATGTCAAGGCAGTATTGTGTGACTATATGGCTGGTGATTGGGGTGCATGTTTCATTTAGCATGATAAGTAGAGAGTATAGGCTAAACCATTTACATTTACATTTACATTTAGGGCATTTAGCAGCTGTATTGTCTGCCTGGAAAACATTTCTACCCTGAGCACTTGGTCCACCACCCTATCTATTCCTTCAGGTTATGTACTACAATATAAAAAGCATATATATATATATATATATGTTTATTAATTGATATTTTATTTTCAGAATGCCACCAGCAAGGAGAGATCCGCGATACAGTGTGCAGGATGTGATTGACATGGTCCAAACTGGAGAGAGTGAGGTTGAGATGGAACTCAATGACACTGATGAGAGTGATGAAGACTCAGATGAAGATGTCTGTCAACAAGTGGACAAAGAAACCCAACCACCCATGGACTGTCCAGCTGATAATTACGTGGACATTGAGCCAAAAACAAACAAACACACCATGCCCCGTGACAGGTATTGCTGGCTGAAAAAAGATTTCATCAGTCCCAACACTGATTTTTCTGGTGTGGATATCACAGGAGATGACATTTCCCTCCACACACCATTGGAATACTTCCGGAAGTTTGTGTCCGAAGACATGGTTGAGGCTCTGACACAAAACACGAATGAGTACAGCTTTCAGGCGCATGGAACATCTGTAAACACCACTGCAAAGGAAATTGAAAAAATGCTTGGCATGTACCTGAAGATGGGCCTGGTACAAATGGCTGGAACCCGTATGTATTGGGAGACAGAGACACGGTACTCCCCTGTTGCTGATGTGATGCCACGCAACAGATTCCAATCCCTGTTGACGTCGTTACATTTTGTAAACAACATGACAGTATCTGAGACGGAAAAGAAAGACAAACTATGGAAACTCAGACCATGGCTTGATTCATTCAGAGAGAAATGCCTGCAGGTGGTACCAGAAGAGCACAACTCTGTGGATGAGATGATGATTCCTTTCAAGGGGAAATTCAGCAGCATCAAGCCAAACCCATGGGGATTCAAAGTGTGGGTGAGAACTGGAATCTCTGGCATGATGTGTGACTTCGATGTCTACCAAGGCAGTGTCAACGGAATTCGAGCCAAATCTGAACTTGGATTGTCAGGTGAGGTTGTGATGAAACTTGCTTCCACACTTCCAGAAGGTCAGAACTACAAAATGTATGTAGACAACTACTTCACCTGTGTTCCATTATTAGTGAAGCTCCTTGATCGGGGAATTCATTACGTGGGAACAGCCAGGCAGGTGCGCCTACCCAACTGTAACCTAGAAGACGAGAAGAGCTTGAAGAGAAAGGGGAGAGGAAGCTATGACGTCAGAGTGGAGGGGAATCACAACATCTGTGCTGTCAAATGGTATGACAACAGGGCCATCACACTTGTGTCATCCTTTGCTGGACCAGAACCTGTGCAGAAGATTCAACGCTGGGACAAAGCCAACAGAACCTACATTGAAGTTGAGAGGCCTTACATTGTTGGTGCCTACAACAAGTACATGGGAGGTGTGGATTTGTTGGCCTCATTTACAGCCAAATATAAGTTCCCCATCAAATCCCGTCGCTGGTACATGTACATCTTCTGGCACACCATCATTCTCGCTGTGGTCAATGCCTGGCTCCTCTACAAGCGGGACTGTAAAGCTCTCAAGGTGTCTAGCAAAGAGACAATGAACAGGAGACAGTTTCAGGCACAGCTAGCATCCTCTCTCATCCTGGTAAATGCAACACTTCAAACTCCAAAGAGAGGATGGCCATCTTCAGGCAAAGGGAGCCCAGAAACACAGACAGTGACATCAGGAAGCCCTCTGAATGCTCAGAAGAAGAGACCATCCAAGAGATGTGCACACCTCCCATTGGATGTACGCAAGGACCTAGTTGCACATTTCCCAAGGAAGACAGGGAGAGGACGCTGCAGACACTGCAACAAAGGATACACCAACACGCAATGCAGAAAGTGTGATGTTCGCCTTTGCTTTTCAGAGGACAGGGACTGTTTTTGGGACTTTCACCAGTCAGAAAGTCAGTCATGAAAAGAAAAAAAGAGGGAAAAAAAGCTAGAGTTTTATCTTGTTTAATCATTTTTTTAAATAAATGACTTCATAAAAATATGACTAATGTGTGATTATTATTAATGTGATATACCTTTATGGGGCTAAATAAGCAATCAGCCCTGCAAATGAACCCTTAGTTGTTCTGAATTGTTCAGACAACGTGAGTACAAATACAGAAATTCTGCTCCCAACTAAGACCAATGTTGCAATATTACAACATTTCTCTAAAAATGTACATAAACATTTTTAAAAAACTCTTTAATTTCCGCATCAAAGGCCTCCTACAACAACATCTGAAAGGTAAAATATTATTTTTTTAAAGTTTTTTCTATATTTGGGGCTTACAGGGTTAAGGGGCACTGCACCAATTTAACACATGAAGTTCAGTTTACTTGTCAACAGAAATACTACTCAGCCGATGAAACAATTGTATATCGTCCCTGATGATAAAAGTGTGCATCTGGAAGCAGAGAGGGTGGAAATATGCCATTGATTATGGAAAATGTAGTAGCCAGTGTTTTTAGGGCTGGACTCTATGGGTGGGCTAAAGATCATGATATCTCTGCCTCTGTTGCTTTGATATTGACCAGTATTGTTGCTTGTGAGTTCCCCAACTTTATAGAAGTGATATACCAAATCCCTGGAGCACACCTTTAATACTGTATGTAAGATTAGGTTCCTTTTACTCATCACACTACTTGACATTTGCTTTATGATTCTGCCACAACATTTCATCCAGTCTTCTTTACATCTCCAGGGCCAGCTGACTTCAATGCTACTTACAGTTCAACCTGGCATACTGTTTTAGCCCAGAACAGCACTGTACTCACGTGAAAACCTCTCCACCCCAACCAGCAAGAGCCGTGAAGATGCGCGGTCCCAGGTCCCTGGCTGGGTTGACAGCATAGCCAGAATTGAAGCCCATCGACAGCCCGATGACCAGCACCACAAAACCAACAGTGAAGGGCTCCAGACCTCTAGGGATTGGATTGTTGTGTGGATCCACTATGGCCAGGATGCACACTATCAGTGCTGCTGTTCCAATTATCTGAGATACAGTAGGGAGAATGCTCTATTAAGTCTTAGTATTTACATTTATTTGATGTGATCTCTAATTATTTGAATGAAAGAGAGACAAAACTTGCTTGAACAAATCAAGAACTTTTTGATATTTCATCAAGGAGATAATAAAAAGCCCTTTTAATCACCAAACCTCACTTTTATAATTGATTTGTCCTGTGATTCCCCTGAGGCATTATTATTATTACAGGTTGTATCGCCTTTAAGAAGTTATGATATTTACAGTAAATTTGTTCTGAAATTATTGACATGCTGTAAACTAAAAACTTCTCTTGAAGAAAAATAAATGTGAAATATGGCAATCATGTCAACTTTTTCATCAGAAAACAGCACATCATAGGACTTTCACTGTCCACTGATGTATTCTGACATCAATGGATGGCGGAAACACTACAAAGAAAGTTCAGCAGAAGATTGTTTGGGTGTTTTCTTCAATTTGCATGGTTGCATCACTGCAGGTCAGGAAGAAAGCAATCACTTTCACAGTAAATGTACACTGTAGATATGGTATAGATTACTTCACATGCTGTGACATGTCAGGATCTATATGAGCGCCGCAGCAGCAGCAGCAGTGCTGGCTAGGGGTCAGCACTGCTGATGCAACAAAGCTACAAAGAGCTGAAAAGTTGAGCCATGTGTACTGCAGTTTTTGTGAGATTTTATTGCTGGCACTGCGCTGTTTCCGTATTAACAGGGGTCTTGAAACTAAGATAAAGTGAAAGACAGTTGTTCTACAGGAGCAAGAAAGCTGTTTAGTAAGCATGTCTATGTGGCGTGGTGAGCATATAGCTGTAAATGGTCTTCTCAACTGTTTGGTAGAACACACTTGGAGTCGTGATATTTGAGAATTGCGGCAGCAAAAGCGCCCTACGTGTTGTCGATAGAAAGGGTTGGGTAGTAACGGATAACAAAAAATATTAAACTATTATCAACTCAGATTATATTTCTAAAAATGTGTAATTATATTATAGTTACATTGTCAAGAATTACTTGATTATATGTTTTATTTAAGATATTTAACTAAAATGATTAAACTTGTTTTTCATAGCCAATGCTCTACTGACTTATGAAAAGTGAGTCAGGTCTGATACGCAGTTTTGTTAATGATGACTTAACTAATATTTGTTTTTGTTTTAGTAATAATGTTTGGACAATTATATTTTTTAATATTTTGAAAATGGAAGATCAAGATTTTGACTTAGCGCTCATCCTGCATTGCAAAAGCAAAGTCCTCCATGCAGCCTTTGAGTAAAAAACAGCAGCAGCTAAAACTTACACAAATGAAACAGAATCCCACTTTGTAGAACACACTCAGTAGTGCTTTTGTAAGGGTAATTTGATTTGACCAACTGTAAATGCTTCATATGCAAAATGCTAAACGTTTTGAGATATTTTAAGAGAAGAAAGAATATTTGTGAAACTCATATTTTTTGGTTGCATCCATTTATTAATGTAAGTGCAATATTTTATTTTGAAATAATTCAAAAAGTAATTCAGTATTCAGATCAGATTACTTTTTTTGTAATCCAATGGATTACGTTACTTATTACTGAAAAAAGATATAATGTATAATTTGTATTCAGTAACTGATTACATTTCAAAGAAATCTGCCCCAACCCTGTCAATAGATTATGTTTAATGTGACACCTGTGGTAGGAATATAAATTCTTTTTACGTGTAGCCATCAGCTGCACCAGCTCAGCTGCAGGATTACGTGCATGCGTTATGTCTGTTGCATTTGCAGTGTCCAGCTTTTTGATGCACGGCGCGTTATTTTACCTTCATTAATTATTTGAATCTTCCGACACAGCCGGCTCTAATTGACCTTCCTTTCCTAAACATTTACAAGCTGTTCCACACAGATTCCAAGTTTAGACAGTCAGATTAAATGAGTAGTGACACTGTCCTGCTCATTACACTGTCCGCTGCTTTTAAAAGGTTAAAGAGGATGAGAGGAGCTGATGTGATGTGATTTGCTATTAGGGTATTTTGGATCATCAGATTTCTATATAATACTTATGAGCAATAAGGATTGGGATTTCCAGTAGTGAGCTAAGTTCTATGCCCTGCTATGTCTACAGTACACTTGTCTTTATTGGACATGACTCAGTCATTTTCAAATAAACTGTCTCTTGGAAGATAAACTTTTATTTGAGGCAATGCTGCTGTGTATTCAGCTCCACCAGACATGCGTCACTGTGACCTCAAGTATCTATTAAAGTCTGTGATTGTTTGAAGCATATAACATTGAGGGTATTGTCTAATACGACAGACAATGGACACTGATGGAAAATGACTGGTACGTATAGAACTTGTGCAATGTGCTTCAACTGGAGTGCACCATGCTTTAGATGGGGCCATTATTTTCACTAAGTAGAGGTGAAATGCTAGAAAAGTACATCATTGTTACCTGATCAAAGAATCCATTAATCATTGTGAGATGTTTAGAAGGATATGTGGCAAAAATCCCAGCTGTGGCATTCTTCCCCACCACCATCAGCTCCCCCTGGCTGAAGTCCGATAATGCATCTGGTGGAATAACGTACAAATCACTTTACTTAAAATAAAACTTAACATTTTCTTCAATTATTAATGTATTTTAATAGTACAAGAAATCTCGTAGGAACTCAGCTGATTATTTGAACTACATCGTCTTTCCACTGCAGCTTCTCCTTCCATCAAGATTGCAGATCATTTAAAAAGGTAAAATTGCTGCCACACTGAATTACAGCTTACATTCAAATCAATCAAATCAAATCAAGATGAGTGCAAATTTTTGGTTAAATTGGTTAAATGATGTATGTTTGAGAGATAGAGTTGACAGCGACTGCAAACAGTTTCTTGTTTACCTTTAGCTAGGTTCAGCACTGAATGGGGTCCAATGGATGCATAAACATATAGAAAGTAGATACAGCCTCAGAGCCGCTATCACAGCTGTAGACTTTGAGTCTTGTTCATATTTCTAAAAAGCAGAAACTTTGGGTGTTATTCTCATAATACCTAAATTTGATCCAACACTTTAGGCCTATATTTGCCAGTATAATCCATCTTATTAAAAGTGTAACCACAATTATTTATTTTAGAGTTCAATAAAAAAACTTGTTAGAATTCAACCTCTGTGATAGAGATTCAGTAGAAGAAAGCCACTAAATGTGAAGCATATTAGTCAAGCGCTGCAAACAGGTGCAAGTGTAGATGCTCATTTGTTCACTGACATGTTTGCCCAGAGCAAACAACCATTTAGTTCTTTTGTTGTTGACAAATTCTTAATTGTCACCACCAAGCTGCTGTTGAATTAAATCGAAGGTTCAAAAACGCATAAACCACTAAGTGTACCGCGGAGTAGACTACAACAAATCTTGATTTGTCAAATGATTAGAGGTTCTGGTTAAACACAAATATTTTTATTAATCTGATCATTCTTCTTCCGTGTCACATACCAAAATACATGGCAAATACAATCGCTGCACCCAGAAAGGCTCCAAGAGTCTGGAACAAAAAGAACAACGGGAACTTCCTCCAAGGCTCTCTTCCAAGTAAACACAGTGTGAATGTCACCGCTGGGTTCAGATGACCACCTAAAGAGGAGAAAAATATAGAAACCATGCCATATTTTTATACATATATCCACTGTGGAAGACAATTTCTTAGTTTGTATTTGTTCCTATCCTTAATTTCTCATTTATATTGGCCATTTTGTATTGTATTTGTTTATTAATGGCTTTTTATGTGTTACCCCTGAAGGTTGGATTGTCCTTAAAAGGTCCAGTGTGTAGGATTGTATGTGATTCACCTGGAGAAAACAAACACATGGAGGCTGCTTTGTCTCTACTGTTTGCAGTACAGCCCTTTTCTTAGCGACACAGTAGAAATGGTTCTAAGCCTCGATATTCAGTAATTGCGGTCTCAGTAAGTCCTGTTAGGATGGAAGGTCTCTGTGACACAAATTAAATTGGCGGGATGAAAAGATTCAGAAAAGTATCCTTTTTTCTAACCTTGAAGAGGGAAATAACTGCTGTGATGGCACACTCATGTGGGTGCCTTGCTTGTATTCACACCTTAATCGTGTCAGGGTAGGAGCTATCTAATTATAAGGGCTTATTTTCCCAGCTGCAATGTGTATTAGAGGGGGGACAGCCTCATTATAAAAGCATTGAAGAAGTGAGCATGAGTGAACCATGGAACCCTTTGTAGTGTTGCTGCTTTAACAGTAGATACTGGGATTGAGGATTGACTCACTCACTTTCCTTTCAATTAAAGACCACGTAGTTTTCATAAGTGCCCGCACCGTCTGTGCGTGTGTCTTTTAAACTTTGCATTCCTCTGTCCACTGCTTCCTGTTCTGCTTCCCCTACCGCCTCTACCTGTCATGCATAATCTGGCAAACACATCAGTGTGGTAAATACTGCACTTCAGATAACTGCCAGTTTACCTTTTGGTGATGTTTTGTGTCTGTCAAGCCATCAATAATAATGACTCTCTCTTATGCTGATGGAAGTTGGTGTAAAAAAAAGCTGAGTCTTGTGGAAAGACTGAATGACAGGTACTTCATGACAGTGATGCAAATGACTGTAGCTCACGAGTGTGTTTTTTTCCCCCCTTTTATTAAATTAACACTTCTGTTGACTTTGGTTTTACTCCCTCGTTGTTGTTGTTGATGATGTATGTATCGATATATAATAATAATTATAGTAACTTCAGTACAGGGGAGCCAAGGGAGCTCGGCTGTTTTTAATAAGACATGACTTCTGAAATCTTGGGAGGTCTCTATAATATTGATAATATGCTTTCCTTGGCATGCTTTTCCATTTTTCAGTTTCTTTATTATCGTGGATCATTTGTAAAAGGCTGTTGTTATTATTATTATATGTAAGAACACATTTATATGCATTACACTGCTTTACTATATGAGTAGAGTATGTTTTATTTACTTTAAACAACTTTTGGGAAGGGCTAAGGGTTAAGGAGATTTTTACTGAAAAAAATACAGATACAGTTTATCCTCACCTGAGATCTGCCCACTCACAAGGATTCCCAAAGTTGCGGCAAAACCAAAAGCAAAGTTGACGGTGAGGAACGTACCATGGGTGCCCCCGCTTAGGACCATCTGTGCTACTGCACCACAACCAAACATCTGGATAAATGAGGGGGGAAACAGTTCAGACAAACAATCTGGAAATATTTACTGAACATATCTACCTTTTATCCCTTTTACTCATTTCCCCAAACAACAAACTTTTTACCATTTTGAGATCCAACCAGAAAGATGCTGTCAAAAACAAACCCTGAGATGAAGTTATTTTCGTGGACAGACAGTAGTAGAAAAACTTCAAAGAGAATAATAAAGGCCCACTGTGGCCTGACCTCAAGTCAGGTGTCTAGCTGAGTCTTGCTTTTCGTCGTATCCAGGGTGTGTCTCTCTGACCTCGGAGGTCATGTGTATGTTATGGTTGGGCTTTGTGTGGGACTATTGATGCCGACAACAATCTGACTCCACCCGCAGAGCCTGTCTCCATGGAGGGCCAGCTCTGACCACTGAGGGGACCTGATCGCCAGCAGACCTGAAAGGTCTCCTGGAATTAACAGATCAGTCACAGCCGGAGAGCAGAATAACAAATAGCCTGGCGGTTCACCGTTGGTCCCCTCTCCTGATATTTTTGTTGTCTGTGGGTGCCCATGAGAAGCAGAGAGTGTCCAGACTGTTTTGCACAGGCTAAAAAACGTTTTAATTTGAAAGAATCTCGTGGCTTCTTCGTGTGTTGGGTTAGGTGTCGGTGGGGAGTTTAGATGCTGTGTGAAGTCTTCTATCATTAGCAAAGAATATGGATATAAAATAATAAGGTTCTATGCATGTCATTTAAGTACAAAGAAGGTAATAGCACAGAAGATAATTGATGGAGTCTTAGGTGCTTCGACTTTAAAGTTCTTATGAATATAGTTAAAATTGCTCAGTCTTTGCTTCTCTACGAAAGCAGCACTTTAATGAGAAGAGAGCAGTAGTTACACTTTCTTTACCTTTTAACACTACTGTAAGTGTTTTTGCTTTGAACATCCTAACAAAAAAACCCAAAAAATTAACTTTTTGTCATCAAACAACTAAACTCTTGCCAGACACGGTAGCACCCTCACCTCTATTTCTACACAAACATGTTGGACAAGAAGGACACAGAATCCCTTGAGGCATTTTCAAAAGATATTTTTCTCTTTCCTCATGCTGAACTGAAAAGCTGCTGGAAGGCTTTAGGATATGTTCTTAGTGAGAAAAAAACCTTGCAACTTATGAACCATTTATTATTATTATGTGCTTACCTGTGATATGATAAACTGACCATCTCACATCTTTAATTACTGATGGCTTTTGTTATGCAGTGACTCCACAGTGTGAACTCTTTCTTGCATGTCTCTTTTTTGGATTTGTTGATGATCGTAGGCATACTTTTCATCTCAATATGCTATACACTGCTCTATATGTTTATTTTATTTTTTGTAATAAGTAGGTAATCTACACATGTATACATTTTAAGATTTTCATTGTTTATTTTTTGGTGGTTTTTCATTCACTGACATCGTCTACCAAAAACTAGCAAAGCTCATACTGTACATGCAAGTGTGTGGGAAAAGGTATGTTTAAGAAATACAATAAAAGGTACTAATAGCCAAAGTAAATGGCAAAAGGAACCAAATATGAGGCATGATATTTTTTACACTAACCATGCAGCCATTTCAGACTCTTATTTAAGCGTAACCAAAGGTACATTTTATTCCCCCCATTTTCAAAATGGTAAAATACCACACCTTCCCATTGTATTTAATGGTAGCAGACAATAATCTACACAAAATGTTAAATTGAGTTAACTATTTTAGACAGGGTATGGTAAACATTTAGTAGTTTAGTCTATTATCCTCTTTTACTTCAACAAAATGATCCACTCAGCATCCTGCAGGAGGGATGCAAAAATACTCTTAACTCACCACCAGAATCAGGGTTCCCAGGCACTCTGCCAGGGCCTGGCGGAGGAGCACATGACGGATCTGAAAGGTCTCTGCCAGTTTCTCCAAAATGTTGTTTTGTCTTCCCATGATGCAGTTATTATAAGATTATCTTGAGGTTGGCTCTGTGGTCTAACAACAAATGTGAGTCACTGGCTGTGCATCAGCTTTTAGGGGTCTTCTCAGGATCCCTCCCTTTTTGTTAGAAAAAGGGGCTACTTTGGACTGCCTTCTCTTCCTCACAGTGTTTGGGGCTGCTGAACTCCTTTGACTTCCTCTCAGCATCTCTCTCTCTACAGCACAGCCAAATATGAAGCTATAAAGTTTACTCCTGAAGCTAAATGATGGGTGTGTTTCAAGGATTCTTGCCCTAGTTTAAAATTATACAGAACTCCAATTAAAATATAAGTCTTTCAGTACGTAATTGTGTACATTTATCAAATCTGGAACTTCATCCTGAGGGACATAAGATGACGAAGGCTCTTTACCAAACCGATCGCTCTTCACTGGTCCTTCACAAGTCGCACTCACAGCTGTGGAGGGCTCTTCACTTTAAGGGGGAATGTATAAATAAACAGGTAAACTGTGATGCACACAACACTCTCTACCATAAGTAGGAAATATCCATCACCATGGATACTGATAGATGCCGTGCTCACCCAGTTGCTATACTGTGTGGTGTTTCACTGTAAATGCACTAATGCCTCTTTACCTTCAGTATATCGGCTCTAAACTAATGGATTATGCTTGGAACATTGTACTGTTCCTATAATTTAAAAAAATATAGTTTAAAGGAGTGTTGCACAGTGTTATGTGTTCATGTCAGGAAGAAATGTGTTTTTTGGACTGGACAAGAAAGATGTGCATGTGATTTGCACACTGATTGTTGAAACATCCTCAATGTCCTATAATCCAATCCAATCCAATCCAACTTTATTTGTTAAGCACTTTAAAAACAACCAAAGTTGACCAAAGTGCTGTACAGGAGAATAAATAGGACATCATAAATGTAAACAGTGATGGTGATGATGAAGACCACTGTGAGGAATATAGACAGTGATGGCGATAACACTGGAAAGTTCCCGTGGCAGACAACACGGACGAAGTCCGACGGCGATGAGCTCGATGTCCGGGCTGCAGACGCTCTTTCACACAGACGTGCCCGGCGTTACACCACCTGTTGTGACATCAGCTGCCTAAATGATTAGGGTTTTCTAAATGCAATCAACTGTATTTTTCCATAACACATTTAACTATTAAAAATAGTGCATTTTGCTCTGCGTACCCTACTGTTAGTTTCATTTGCAGCACTGCTACATGCAAAGACTGGTGTGGCATATTTCACACCTTTTTTCAGCATTGGTTGGGTTTTAGGAATGAAGCCAATCTTGGTGGTGTTGACTTAGACAGAAGTGAGTTTACCTGCAGCCCGTTCCTCTCTCTGCTTGAAGCTAGCATAACACAGTAGCATAACACACCCGAATTGCTCTCATCCAAATGTAATGCAGGGTTGAGGAAGAAGAATGTATGGAATAAAAAAGATAAAATCTTTGGTTCTGCTGCATCGATTTTGATACTTTTCATCATGAGTCTGATAATCTTATTAAAGCGTAATACTAAATCAGTGCAGTAGAGTTTATATTGTGGTCAAAAATCACATATTCCTTAATAAAGCTGTGTTCAAATTACCACAGACTAACTGACAGAGAGAACCTAGGACCTTGCATATTCTGCTGTGTGCACCGTGCTTTACTGGAATCTGGAGTCTACAGGGTACACAACGGGTAATCCAGCCATTAGCATCATAATTATTTGTGGAGAAAATCAGGGCTGTTGATGATGAAGGTTGAGGCTGACCTTGCTAATTTGTTAAATTAGAAAGCCTTGAACCTTCAGTTATCAAAGTACCTTGTCAGTGTTAATCTAAGCAGGAAAAAAGCACAAAGAGGTGTTTACTCAAAGATGTTTTCACCTTGCAGTAACATTCAACCATTCACCAGTGTGTGTGTGTGTGTGTGTGTGTGTGTGTGTGAGTGTGTGTGTGTGTCCTTGCATTTGTGCAACCCTCCTCAAGCAGGCTAATGCAAGTGTTATCATTATCTTGGAGTGCACCGTAATTAAGACGTTCACATCTCCTGCTTGGTTCAGCGTATTAGTGCGATAGGAATGGCCAGAGGAGAGAACTTTGATGGTTTATCTTGGAGGTTAGTTAAAATCAGACTGACTTTCTGTTTTGGCACAATGCAGAAAACACCCCCATGATAACCCCAATTAGCATATTTATTCAAATCCTGATTTATTTACAGATGAAGCTATTTGTCTAAGATTTTCCCTGACCACGGTTTTCACAATATGTTCTCTCATGAGACTGCTGCATTTATTTGTGCTGTTGGTGACTCACCTTGCCACAGAAAGTAAGGGGGCTTATGTATTTTCCTTATTATTATTATTATTATTATTACTTTTCAACATAAAATGCAAACTTACAGCATCCCCTTGGTAGAACTTCAGTGAACTGAAACACTAAATACCTGCAGTGTATATGCTGAAGATTATATTTAATTATAACCACATTTATGAAAATCCATAATTGGATTAAAAATAATTGCATCAAATAAAAAAGTGTACATTCATAGTGCAAGTCATTTTCATGGAATAGCTGCCTTTATACTTCAGCAGGCATAAGCTCACCGACACACAAAATATACAGCCAAACACACACACACACACACACACACACACACACACACACACACATCGTCTTCCATCAGGACATATAAGACACAGCATGTCCCAACCAGCAGGCTGTCACTTCCACTAAAACGCTGGGTTTGTTTGGTTGAAGCCTCATGCGTGCAAAAATGAATAGGTTTTTTAAATAAAAACCACAGTGATGCTCACTCTAGTTACCCCCAAATGTTTGTCTCTCTGATATTGACCTACCACTACCAACCGCAGTGAGGGCAGGTTTAATCTTGTCTTTGCACTTTAAAAATTAAACACACATGCTGGTGATTTATATTTTATATTCCTGAGCAGGATTCATAATGCATAATGTTGTGTTTTGTGAACAAAATCAAAGGTCATATATTGTTCTTTGTAAAACATCATGTAATGTGTTTCCAGAGTGGGAGGGAGGGGGCAAAGCAAGAATTTTTTTTTTTATAGGTATAAGCTTATTATTTACATTGACATAATTATGCTTGGTGTCGTCCCCTGCTTCCTCTGAATAAAATCAGTTTCTATTATCGGTGGATTTTATGAAAATTCACGGCTAATGCTAGAAGGTGCTCAGTGTGTGTGGACACAGTCAGGAGAGTGGTACCGCATTAACATAACATCAATGTCAAGCTTACATCCCTCAATCGAGCTAATCAGTATTCACACTGTCATATTAGTGTGGCACTCAGAATCTAAAATATACAGGTATCAGGTAATATCACCAATCCATGTCTGTATATGCTGTAGCTACACTCGAATGGAATTTAAAAGAAAAAAAAAGAAAAACAGGACAATATAACTCTGCTGCCCACAAAGGTAAATTAAAAGCAGGCAAAGGCTGGAAAAGGTGATGTAGTGTAATGAGAGTGCACATTATCTCTGCTGTTGTGAGGAGGACAATCATTATATATATCTTACAGGACATCATGTAAGAGCTCCAGCAACGTGTTCTGTATACAGGTATGAATGTAGGCACGGAACAGGAACGCTATGGAGGTATTTGTTTTCAAAGGGGATTTTCTTTTTAAACTTAAAGTGATCTTAGGGGCCTTTATTTTGCCACCATCTTCTTGCATATGTTGTCCACTCTAAATGTTAACAAATGGTTTAAATAGACTGCAAGAAAAAAACGCAGATTTTGAATTTTTAAGATAAACTGAAGAATTAATTGCTCCTTTATGGGTTGAGTAATTTTTCACTTGTTAAATGAAGCTGAAAACAGAGCAGCTTTTCACAAGACAGTGATGAAAATTGTGAGGCACAAAAAAGCAACTGGAAGAGGAAAAAAAAGCAACTCCTCCAGCTAATCCTGTATGCAGAAACACGCATGCAGAGATCTATCCTGTGCATATACAGAACAGTAATGTATCTCTGAGCTTTCAGCATGGACTAATAAAACCACCAGAGTGCCATGCATTATATGCTCTCTGTGGAGAAAAAGTGTATTTCACTCAGCATTGATTCAGTACCATTCATGATTAACAATTTGTCTCCGCTTCTCCTGCCTTTTCTTTATAAAGCCCTAAATGGACTAATAATAATAATTTATTTTACTGTTTTATGTAAAGGTAAAATAAGAAAGTACATACACACGCACATTCTCCAATCATGATTGCTTACCCGACAGAATAAAAATGTTTTGTTTTATTGAACTAATAGGAGCAATGGTAGAGAGCTAGAAAGAATTGGATGTGAAGAAAGCGAGGGTCAGGGTTTGTGCTGAATCACAGTCCATTATAACAACACTACCCAGAAACACCTTGCTATATGTGGTGAAGCAAATTACCAACTTATTCCCTTTCCTTTCCCCTAGGCTGAATATTATGCATGCAACATGCAGACATTGATTTGCAATTAGTTCTTATGCAGAATTTAATGCCCAAGACATGCATATGCTGTATCCATGTAAAGCATGTTCAGTATGTTAGAACTCGTCATACAGGTAGTGAGTCAGTATGGTTAAAAAAATAAATTAATACATAAACACATTCATATAGAATTTTAAACATGCAGCAATAGCACAGCTTTTGTCTTATAGCAACTTTACTCATGAGAATGGTCAACTCCTGGATCATCACCACAACTTTTTTAAAGAGAGCATGCTGTCCTTTCATATGATATGCTGATATCAGTCAACCCCCATTTAGAAAAAGAGTAACATAAATAGTTTGGTGGGTGGTCACTATCAACAACCACACTGGTGAAAGGCTGAGCAAACACATGAACCAACGACTGCAGCACTTGTGTTTCCCACATTTCTGTCTCACTTGTGGAATGAATAGTAGGAAGGTAACCTTCATACCTATTAACGTATTGTGGCAGGCACACTTTTCACTCCATTGCAAGATTTACTTTATTTTTAAAGTGGCTATAATACAGATTTTTATTTAAAAAACAA